CATTCCTAATCCCCGCATGTCGATCGGATATAATCGTAATATCTTCCCGCTGTGTCACGTGTTCGTGTAGTTGGTCAAAGAACCATGCCCAACTTAAGCTGTTCTCCCCTTCCACTAATGCAAATGCAAGCGGGAAAATCCGCCTGTTTCCATCAACGCCAGTTGCAATTAGAAGACATCCTCTGTACTTCCCAGTAAGGAAAGTTCCGTCAACCTGAATAAAAATTTAGGATCTAATTAGTATGAAATTTACGTAACAGAAAATAATACAACATTTAAAATCGGCATCAGTTGGTTCTATACCTGAATAACCGGTATGCAGAACCCAAAACCGTCAATGCATGGTTTAAAAGCCCAAAAAAGACGATGGAACATCAGCTTATCCTGTACTCGAACTTGATCCCCAGTGTATACATTGTTGTATACTGGGACGAAAACAGTCCCAGGATTGGACTCCTCCATTGCTCCCATAAGTCTAGGGAGTAAAGCATAAGAATCCTCCCAATCACCATACACCTCAGCCATGGCTTTCTGCTTACCATGCCATGCTTTTTTGTACCGTATCGTGTAAGAATGTCGATCCTTCACCTCTGCCATGATAGCTTTCACCTTGATATCTGGTTGTGCTTCTATAAGGTGCTTAATAGTTCTCCCAACTTTCTTTGCTTTTAGTTGCCTGTGATCTTGGGAAAGTATAGAAGAGGAGCATGTGTGGATCGTCTCAGCTTTGCGAATCACCCAAGCACCCTTTCTCTTCATATTTGCAGCCCGCAGTTGCCACGTACAACCCTCTGCATCATGCTTGCATATGACATGTAGTTGTTTACTGTCAGAATATTTTACCTTCCACTCGAAATTGCGCCTCAACGCCTCTTCTGTAAAAGCATCCTGCACAGCGAAAGGGACAAACTCGGGGGGATCATTCTGACTATGTAAAAATTGAGTTGGAACATGTGTGTAATGTGGCGTGGGTGCCTCACGAAATGCCGCCTCATCCTCGTTATCATCAGTATCTTCCTCCTCCTCGCTCACTGATCTCAAATCTTCCTCAGTATCCTCGTCGCTCGACTCGAATGGATAGCTCGGGCTAGAAGGATCAACATGACCACGATCACCAACATCGTCCTCTCGCTCATGCGAAGTACGCCCTGATCGAATGTTATTCTCGATTTCAGACCACTCTGGCCCCCAAGCAGGCCATTCAACACCATCGGCTGGTTGAGGAGGTTGCGAGTATTTGTCCCATCCTGCACTACTCGATCCACCGTAGTTGATTGAACCACCACCCTCCCCGTAACCTCCTGTATAACCACCGCCTTGGTAGTTGCTCGAACTACCACCCCATTCGTACCCTCCTGCAAAACCATCATCATAAGAATACTGGTGAGAATGAGATTCACCGACCGCCTCGGTCTCAACATACACCTCTGCAAGCCGGACTTGGTTATCGCTTAGGAACTGTAACATCATCGTAACCGCGTCATCATCGTTTATGACAACTTCTTGGAACACGACCCCGCCAGCACTCATGTCTGGATACCGGTAAGTAATTTTGCCAAGTCTCGTCTGTCCGCTCGTACAATCCCTTTCCGCACAAAGATCACAGAGTTCTTGAAAATTGAATCGGGAATCAATTTTCAGCATAATGGATTCGCCGTCCTCATAATCAATGCCTATGTCATAGTTTGTCACCCTTCCATTCCACCGAATAGTAAGATGAAACTTCTTGAATTTACCCATATCTACAAATCGAGGATAAGTATCTATTAGCTTAAAGACAGTAAAATTAACCAAAATCATATTGTACAACTAATATTATCCATCTCATAACTAACGAACATAAATTCAACTAACTAACAACAACATAATACGAAAATTAAATCATACTATAACTAACGAACATAAATTCAACTAACTAACAACAACATAATACGAAAATTTAATCATACTATAACTACTAAAAACATAATTAGACTATAATACGAAAAGAGACATACCAAAAAATGTATGTTCTGTGTATTATGCTCGATTTATTTGCTGAAATTTGAAGAAGGGGGGAGTGGTAAGTTTTTGCTTCTGCTGGTGGGTTGGTATTTATAGGAAAATTTGCTACTATTCACCGTTTTTGTCAAACACGGTGAACACCATCACCGCGTTTGTCTCAAACGGTGAATACTAGGTAGGTGTGACCTAATTTTGACCTACCAGGGGTGGGAAACGTGGGAAACAATCACCGCTTTAGGCAACCACGGTGAATGTATTCACCGTTTTTAACTAAGACGGTGATGTATTCACCGTTGTTGACAAACGCGGTGAATACATCACCGTTTTAGATCAAGGCGGTGAATACGTCACCGTTTTAGTTTTAAACGGTGAAATATTCACCGTCTTTTTCAAACGCGGTGATTACCTTCACTGCGTTTGTCAAAAACGGTGAATGCCAAACATGTGTACTTTGGGAATTTTTTTTATAACTTATGTATTTTGTGAATTTTTTTTAAGAACGTGTGTACAGTGGGATTTTTTCCTTCAACTACGCCAGGTACGTAGCAATGGGGCTCGACGGGGTTTGATTATCCAGTTCCGGCTAGAGCCTAGCCACGCCGCCTCCCCCGATGTTGCTCTGCCTCTTCTCTCCGCATGCTGCTGCTGAATGATACCAGTTGCCAGTAGATGGATAAGGGAGAATCGAGGGATTTGGTGATTCGGGAAATGGGAAGAGGTCGGATTCTTCTCCTCCTCTTCTTGTTTGTGTGTGTGACATGGAAGCCAGATCACTGCCACATCAGCGTTGGATGTTAAGTCATTGACGGAATAAATGTTTGACCGTTAATATTAACAGTCAACACAGTTTCGGGCCAAATTTGTCCAATAATTTCAAAAATAGGTCATAAACGTCTTATTGAAAAAATGGAGCCAGAACTGTCACTTACGCTAAATTTTGGGCCATAGTATTAACCCTAAATTAAAATGGGAGTGAAGTAAACTTCCATTCACAAAACCAGCAAAGCACACGTAGGCAGGCCATGCAACACATGGTTTAATTTAATCGTGCTAATTTATTTAAACCGGTCCAATTTAATCGTTTAAAGCAAATCGGTTAAATCAAATTTCCAACATATGTGTCTTCCACGCCACATAGGAAATTAATAATTAAAATTAAATAAAAATACATTTTCGGGAAATTTTATTGGCGGTACTGGAGCTTGCCTCTGCACCTTTCGCCACACCAATCCTAGCCAAAACCACAGTCTGACCGTTAACCAGGCAAATTGGGGGCATGTGACCAGTACCACATTAGTTTTGGCGACTGTATGAGACGAAATGCGAGATGTAAACTTTTTTGGTAGCTTTAGCGACGACATCATTTTACTGGATGGGATTAGGGCTGGGAAACGGTGCGGTCTAGTCCAGACCAGACCATATATACGGTTTATGGTCCAGAACGAGAGACTAAAGTATAGACCACAGACCAGACCACTGACTATACGGTCCGGTCCAGACCACGCCTGTGTGGTCTGGTTCGGTCTGGTCTGGTCCAGATAGACCACACTCAACGAAAAATGAATAATTTGTTTAGTCAACCACACAAAAAATTGAACCAATAACCAAGAAAAATAATTGTTATTTGCCTTAAAACATTAATCCTAACATGCATGAATAATTTTGATACTCTAAATCATAGTACATAACAAAGATACAAAGTAAAAACATCACAACTTGCACCATAACGTCATAAACATTAATATAATGTCATATGGAGACACTATTATCTCTACTCTCTGGTTAAATGTGGTTGTGAATGAAGGAGAGAAGAGATTCACAAAATTAAGGTTGAGACTTGGGTGTCGTTGTGAGAGTTTGGAGAGTGGTCGAATGGGCTGTTAACACGTATTGACAAGTCACTTGGGTCCACGGTTTGGTCCGGTAAACCGCGGTCTAGACCAGACCAGACCAAGAGATCAAATCATAAAATAATACAGACCATGGACCAGACCAGACCATACTTCACGGTCTACGGTTCGGACTAACCTATGCGGTACGGTTTGAACCACGGTTTTTCTAACGGTCTGGTCTATTTTTCCAGCCCTAGATGGGATCGGTAGTTGAGTACTTCATATTGATTGATATGGAATTGATGATGAGAGAGACATAGCTATTTGTAATTTGTATGTCGTATAGTTGTGATCAGGACCTAAGAATTTTACATAGGGTGTTCTCTTTAAAAAATAAATTTAATAAAAATTTAATAATTCTTATATAAAAAAATACCCGAATCTTACGAGTTAAAAAAAGTCAACGATCTGTATTTATATTCGAAAATAACAGTAAAATACAATTGGTGTCTACACTACTCAAGAAAATAATCTTTGTATATCCTACTAGAATCATTCACGAACTGATCACATATTCGATTTTTACACTTGTTCTTGATGTAACCCAAAGCTGAAAATACTCTTTCAACACTTGTACAACAGTGTTTAAAATAATTTATTTAATTGTTAGATTTTGAAAATAATTAGAGATAGGGAATGACAATTTATTATTACAAAGTGTTTAAAATCGAACAACAAATGAGTTGTAGTCTAAAGAAAATTATTTTTATTGATAATAATAGTGTCCAAGGTTTGAATTACTCAAACTACAACTTATATTCCCATAAGCAAACTAAAAGATGAGAGTAGGATAATCATTTTTTCAAATTTTAGGGGTGTCCCCGACTATCAATTATAATTTTTTTGTCCATACGTAATTTACCACCGGGGGTTGGATAATCGTTTTCCCAAAATTTAGGGGGTGTCCCGAGACACCCCAATGATCCGGTGTCCGCCCCTGGTAGTGATAGTTAAAGAAAGGGTAAACTCATTACATTTTAATATTAGAAGGGGTAAGTTTGTTAATTTACAATAGTAAAAGGGTACAAAATGCTAATAACTATTAAAGAATCTTAACAATTTTACATAATGCTTAAATTATCTTGGTGCTTATCACGTATTTGACTATACTGGATGTTGCTCGTATATCTGTAGATATGCTCCGGAGAGGGCCACCATGTGAGGAAGCGTCTCGGAGACATGTAGATCCTGCATCTCGTACCTGCCAAGAATTCCATGTATGATAATGTCGTTAGCAAGAGTATAGTGTTTGGGAGAAGATCGAGTTTACAAATGTGTGATAAAGCTATGTTATTACCATATATCTTGAGACTTGCGCTGCACAAAAGCTCGGTATAAGCCCTCTTCAGGTTTGCCATCGTGAACAATGTTAGCTACCAAATCGTACTTGGAGCCAGATTTATTGTCCTCCTTAGGCATTGGCAGAGGAATGTAGTCCTTCAGTTCCAAGTTCTTCACAGGGAAGTTGACTGCGACACCAATTTAGGAATAAGCACAAGACCCCATCAAAGTTAACGATCCAACGCTAGTTCTCAAGGTGCATAATGGAACTAATTAATTGAATAAAGAAAACTAACCTATTGTTGGGTTCTTCTCAATGAAGAAGTTGTTCTTCTCAAAGCGTTGCATGTGAAGGATTAGATACCGTGGCAATCTAGTTATCCGATATCTCGTCCGGGCAAAGCGAGGCCGGACTACTTCAGTGACAGTCTCCCCGTCGAATTTCTTCAGTATGTTGAACAAAGGAACCTAAAGCAAGAAGGCAATCAACAGTATTAGAACATAGAAAAGTGAAGATACAAACAAGCGAACCAAATAACAGAGGAACAACAACAGTCATTCAAAACAGAGTAATGGAACAGAGCAGACCCACTTTGCAGTCCAATAAGTAGGAGACTAAAACAAGGTTACCTGTGGAATGATGTTTTTCTCCATCGCATCCTTAAACAAAGGAGGCGGGGGCAATCCCAGTCCGAGCATCAAGAATGGCATTCTGGACTTATGCTTGAGAACATTAATACCATGTTCTGTCTCAACGCCATTGTCTTCCTTTTGAGGGATAGTTTTCGTCGGAATCTCTTTGATAACCTCCATTTCTCCCTGCAGCCAAGACAATAATGCGCAGCTAAAAACGTAAGATTGACTACACAAGCAAACCATTGGGGGAAAAAGGACAAAGCAGGCTAGTACTAGCCAAACAAACCTGGAAACATTCAGAGATTATGGTATTCTTCTCCTTCTTCTTCTTATTCCTGCAGGAAGTTGTAAGCTCTGCATGAAGTGTATTGAGGAGCCACGCCAAGAAATCCTGAGGGTCAGATTGCTGGCCTGCGCAAAACCTTTTCTGGCTGGCTTCCGCAACTGCTTGTAAGAACCCATGAGGGCTGACCTGTTCAGAATCCAGAATATGCAGCAGGATGGTAAGTTGGGACATTATTCAAAAACACGATCGATCACCAATTTAACAGAACCACCAGTTCATCATCATCAAGAAAAGCTAAGGCCGTACCTGTCCCTTAAAGTTTCCAGCATGCCATATCTTCCGTGTTAGCTCCCCAAAACGTTGAACAAGAGTGGAACCACAATGCTGATAATTGTCAGGCATGAGGAAGAAATTCCTCAATGGCGTTACCCTCATTAGAGACTGAATCGTAACATTTACAAAATCAGTTCCATGGAGATTGTTGAGTCCCACCTGATGACCATAAATACCAATGTGAGCTAGAATTCATATTCTAGGGGATGAATACTAAATTTCAAGATAGCAGACAAGATAATAGAATAGAGTGTGTGTATATATATATATATATATACCATTCCAGGAAGATAATCAGATCCATCAAGCGCCCTAGACCATCGTCTGTTTCTGTCCAGCTGTGCAACTTGTTCCTTGGTAAACCTCGGGTTCAGTACTTGCCGTATATCATCTAGAGATGGGTCAACAATTTCATATCCGTCAGGAAGACAGTACAATTTCTCAGTGTGTAAGTTGATGTACACATGGTGCCTTGCGTCAAAGCTGTGAGCATACGCATGGGATCCCTTCCCTCTTCCTTGGTAGTACTTTCCACACACCAAACAGGCATAAACGTTCAGATTTGACAGAGAGACCGAACAGAACTTCTCAAAATCAAAATCCAGCACCTGAAAAAGAAGGAGAAGAAGAAGAAGAAGAAAAACAACACATTCAGTGCCAAATACAAAGTTCTAAATCAGAGAGCAAAATTAAATTCCCACCACCAAAACATCAGCTGACTCCCTACCTGGCGATTCACGGTATCAAGATAAGGGCAGCCTTCAACAGGCCCGAGCTTGCTCCTACACCTTTGAGCCCTACCGTCGCTGTTACGACGCTGGCTTCTTTCATTGTGCTCCTCATCGTCATCGACATCGTCATACGGCGGTGGACGAGACGCGCATCCTTCTATTTTCTGCCTCTTAATAGAACCTTGTCGATCCACCAACATCCTGTCACCACCGTGCTCTCTTGTCTCCGGCACCATCGTCTCTCTCTCTCTCTCTGTAACTCTCACTCTCACTCTCTCTCTTCCAAAATACAATTCCAACAAGCCAGTAAAACAAAGCTGCCCTCCTACCTCACGGAACTATTATATCAAGTTTAATTGGCACACAAAGCGAAAGCCAAAAGTGAATGTGTAAATATATAGTACCTCAACCCACCGCTATCACGACAATCCCTAATAACTAAATGAAACGAAAAATTACTCTTTCCGCACGGCAAGCGGTCTTCGGCCTCCTACTCCGAAACTATTATGGAATCAACAATCCTCATCTAAGTCATCTACTTCTAAGCCGGCCGTGCACTTTTTTTTTGGCTTAGGATAGGGTGAGTAATCATTTGTTACTCACCCGTCAGTAACCACTTAGGGACCGTCGATCTGGGCCGGACTGATTTTGTAGCTGTCATTGAAGCGGAATGGTCAGGGGCATTTTTGTTCGTTATTTATATTAATGAGTTTCCCTTTTATCCGTTGCGAGCTGGGATTTGGAGAGAGAAAGTGCGAGCAGCAAAACAGGGGACCGAGCTATGGAGAATATTTCTCTCCATAATTGATTTTTTTTTGAGGAATCTCCATAATTGATCGACGGCGAGAACTTAGGTGGATTACCTAAATCAACGGGGAGTTCATCTCTGGTTAGATATTAGTTTTTCTGATTCTTCCTATTCCGTCGTTAACTTTTTAACCTGGCGTGATTCGTTGAGCTTTCTGTCGATCTTTGGTTTCGTTGAGCGTTCTGTCGATCTTTGGTTTCGTTGTATGTTATTCGTTGCGATAATTGCTAGTGAATATGGCTTTGACCTCGACTGAGTGAGTTTCTTTGTGTTTCTGTTTAGCTAATCGAGCTTGTTCATGTTCATGTTGTTTGTGTTTTTGCAGTACTCTGGTGAAATGAGTTACGTTAATTGTGGCGATGTTGTTCCATTCGATAGATCTGTTTCTTCATCTAGCGGTGATGGATCTGTTCTTCATCTAGCGTTGTTGGAAATAGTTCTTTATCTAGCGTTGTTGGATTTGGTGATTCAGCTAACTTTGATGAATCAGGAGGTAAGATATACAAATTTGTTTGTTAATTTGAAGTTTTAATGTGTTAGATACCATATTTTACCATGGTGGTAATTACTGGTATACGCTGAGAGGTGATACCATAATGTTGTGTTGTTATATTATTGTGCTCTGTATTTAACTTTTACCTTATCATACTATAGTGGTAATCATTGGTATATTGTGAGATGTGATTCTGTTGTGGCGTGGAATTCATTTTACCATATCATACCATGGTGGTAATTCTTGTATCATATCATACCATAGTGGTAATCATTGGTATATTGTGAGATGTGATTCCGTTGTGGCGTGGAATTTATTTTACCATATCATACCATAGTGGTAATCATTGGTATATGCTGATATGTGATTCTGTTGTGGCGTGGAATTCATTTTACCATAGTGGTAATCATTGGTATATGCTGATATGCGATTTTGTTGTTGTGGAATCATTTTACCATATTATAAGATGGTGGTAATTGCTGGTATTTAGTCATAAAATACACTTTAGCTAGTGGTAAAACAGTATACCATGGTTGTTTTTGTGAATTGAATACACTTTACCTTATTATACCATGGTGGTATTATATTTTTACATATTTAATATGTTGCTTCATAATGTTTATAGGTTTCAATGGTATATATCCTACTGTTCGTGATTCTTGGAAGGACTTACAGTTTAATACACCAGATGATGCATACAATTTCTCTGTGGATTATGGGAATCGTGAAGGTTTTGGTGTGAGGATTTATAACCAATCAGCGTGTCTGAAGCTCAATGGTGGTTCTTCAGCTGTATATTATATCAAGTATTGTTGCAATAAGGAAGTTTGAAGAAGAGGTAGCGAGAATAACCCTGATAATGCAGGTGTTGTTGATACGAATGTTCGTGTTCGTAATGTTCCAGAACTCAGGGGTGGATGTAATGGTGCTTATATACGACTGAGGTGGTTTAAAGAGTTTAAATGCTACAAGATCTATCGTTGGTATAATGTGCACAACCATGACATGATTCCTGAGTCTCTGTGTCACTATGTGAGATCCAGCAGACGAATGGCTCCTGTGTATAAGATGTTGGCAGAGGTGAATGATGTTGCTGGTATTGGTGTGACTTCTTCGTATAATGCAATTAGTAGGGCTCGTGGTGGTCGGAAGTTTGTTGGGTTCACAAAGAATGATTTGAAGAACCATCTGCGAACGACAAGGACGTTATCAATGGAGTATGGTGATGCGACTGCATTGCTTGAATACTTTAGACGTCAAGCACAGCTGGATCCTGGGTTCTTTCATGAGGTGGAGGTTGATGTTGAAGAGAACATTGCTAGTATTTTTTGGGCGGATGGGAAGATGAGGATGGATTATCATTATTTTGGTGATTCAATTAGTTTTGATACTACTTACCGGACTAACAAAGAGTTTCGGCCACTAGGTATGTTTTCTAGTTTGTTGTTTATTATTGTCTTTGTGAGTTTGTATGATTATTATTATTATCATTCTGTATCATGGTTATTTTGTTCTTAAAAGTCTGTACCATATGGTATGGGTTGGTATGGATTGCTTTTTTGTTCTTAAAAGTATTTTACCATATTGTATGTGTTGGTAACAAGGTTATTTGAGGTGGTTTTTGCGTTGTTAGAAGTCTATTCTATATGGTATGGGCTGGTATGGATTGTGTTTTTGTTCTTAAAAGTCTTTTACCATATAGTATGGGTTGGTAACAAGTTTATTTGAGGTGGTTTTTGCGTTGTTAGAAGTCTATACTATATGGTATGGTCTGGTATGGATTGTTTTTTTTGTTCTTAGAAGTCTTTACCATATGGTACGGATTGGTATTATTTTTATTCGTACCTTTTACCACATGGTATGTGTTGGTAGAATTGTTTTTACTCACATTTTCTTATGTTTTTGTAGCTTTGTTTGTTGGTTTCAACAATCATCACCAACTGACTGTCTTTGCGGCTGCTCTTCTATATTATGAAACAACGACAACATTTGAATGGCTTTTCGATCAGTTTTTGAAATGCATGGGAGGTGTGAGACCGTTATCAATGTTTACTGACCAGGCTGCTGCAATTGCTACTGGTATAAGGTCTGTTTTTCCATATTGTTTTCATGGGTTGTGTACATGGCATATTGCTCAGAATGCAGTTGTTAATCTGGGAAGTTTGTGTGACTCTGACTTCCTTCGTGAGCTTAGTTATTTGATGTATAATGCTGATGATGAGGATGATTTTGAGTATAATTGGAAGAAGATGATTGAGAAGTGTTTTCCTGGGAAGGGACCTTTGGGACACAGTTGGTTACAGGGCATTTACAAAGTCAGGAAGAAGTGGTCTTCAGCCTGGGTGAATTGTTATTTTGGTGCAGGAATGAAGAGTACCCAGCTAAGTGAGTGTTGCAATAGTAATATTCGACATTACTTGCAGTCAGAGTTTAGCGTTAGTAGATTCTTTGTGCACTTTGAGAGGATGCTTGATAATAAGAGGGATGCTGAAGAACAAGAAGAGTATTATGCCTTATCTAGGTTGGCTGATTCTCGGTTTTCTACTAGCCCTATTGTGAAGCAAGTTGCTAATGTGTATACGCCGGAGATATTCAAGTTTTTCCTGGATCAGTACAAGGAATCTCTTGCATATAATATTTTTTCAAATACGGAGATAGAACCAGAAGGACATGTAGGAATGTTTGATGTCTTCATATTGGAGGATGACCTTACAAGGTTGGATAGTAGTGTGTTGAAGGTTGATTTTGATAACGGTGAAATCAAGTGTTCCTGCCGTAAGTGGGAGTCAAGTGGTTTGATCTGTAAGCATCAAATTCAGGGATATGATATGTTGTGGTCTACAACATGCAATCTGAAGTTCCAGCACATTCCTAGCAGTTTGATTTTGAAGCGGTGGACAAGAGCAGCAAAAGCTGGAGGGAACTTTTCTTTTGAAGTTCCGTCTACTGATAGTCCATTGAAATACCGTTCTCGTCTTTTCAATCTGTCAGCTGTTTCTGCATCAATGATCAGCAGGGTTTCACTGGATGATGATTTGTATAAATCAGCCATCGCCTTCATGACTGATTTGATCAAAAAGTGTGAAGCCATATCGATTACTGAACCTGCTGGAACAAGCACGTCTTCTAACGGTGACAGTAAGTTTTTAATTGTTTAGAGTTTTGTGTTTTGATATATGCAATTTTTTGAGGAGAATGATTTTATTTATATATATATATATATATATGCCATTGATTGTAGTTTGTTTTTGTTATCTTGGTATAGATGATGTACCGGTCCAAAAAGTGAAGGGGTTTAAGCCTAAAAAAGATTCATTCAAGCCTTCGATATCGACCAATTCCAGTTGCGGAGGCTGCAAGGGCTGTAAGTAAGAAGAAGAGAAAAACTAGCAGGCTTGAGGAGGAGAATTTGAAGGCTGTTGAAGAAAGTTTAAGGCTGAAGCTGTAACAGTTTTCTTAGAGGATTATTTGAATGAATGGTTGAAGCTGGTTGAGTTGTTGAAGCTATTTTGTTCTTTTGGATTGGTTTTGGTTTTGTTGGATATTTTTCTTGTCTTGTTGAATTAATTTTACCATGTCATACCATGTGGTATAATGTGGTAATTTGATTTTATAATGTCAAACCAGGTGGTAAAATGTGCTATTTTGGAAGTTAAATGTGAAGGTTCTGTTTTATAATTGATTTTACCATGCCATACCATGTGGTATAGTGTGGTAGTTTGGAAGTTCTGTGTGATAATTGATTTTACATTTGCCATACCATATGGTATAGTGTTGTAATTTATTTTTACCATGCCATACCATGTGGTAAAATATGCTATTTTGGAAGTGGCATGTGTTGTCCTGTGTGGTAATTGATTTTACAGTGCATTACCATGTGGTAAAATGTGGTAATTTGGAAGTTAAATGTGAGGGTTCTGTGTGATAATTGATTTTACCATGCCATACCATATGGTATAGTGTGGTAATTTGATTTTACCATGCCATACCATGTGGTATAGTGTGGTAGTTTGATTCTACCATGCCATACCATGTGGTATAGTGTGGTAATTTGATTTTACCATGCCATACCATGTGGTATAGTATGATAGTTTGATTTTACCATGCCATACCATATGGTATAGTGTGTTAATTTGATTTTACCATGCCATACCATGTGGTATAGTGTGGTAGTTTGGAAGTTCTGTGTGATAATTGATTTTACATTGCCATACCATGTGGTACTGTGTGGTAACTGATTTTACATTGACATACCATGTGGTAAAATGTGGTAATTTGGGAATTAAGAACACATGTTAAGTATTTGCTAACATAATAAAAAACAGAACATTTCACTTAGTCATAACACACACCATAATAAGTTGTTTCATACCATCCTACTAACTAGAATGAAGTGGCTACTGAACATTGTGAGTTTGTTCTCAAAAGCTTACGTATACCCTCCTACTACTTAACACAAACCATAATAGAATTTTCATCTTCTTTCTTTCAAATCTTCCTCTTGTTCTTCATGTTGCAGTACTTTGTTGATTCTTTCATGATCCTATCCCGTTCAAGATTGTCTTCATCAAGAATGATGTCCAACATCAGGCACTCCCTTTCTTCATTTATGAGATCAATCCTCTTCCAGTCTTTGGTCAGGGCACTGTTGTACTTACCTTCCCAGTGTCTCATCCACCTGATGATGTACATCCCACATGACTTGTCATCTGGTTGTGTAACCTTCTCGAGGTAGAACCAGGTAAACCTTTCCCACTTTACTGTCTTGTCTGCAAACTGTGTCTTCATGTAGTTAATTGCGTACTGGACAACCCTCTCTGCCATTGGTTTGTAGTATTCTTCAAAATCTTTGTGACGGAGACTGTCGAGTACTTCAAATCTCTCTGCTTTGATGTTGACACAAATCATGATGTAGTGCTTGTTATCACAGTAAGGGAAGAACCACTGCAAAATAATTTTACCACAGTATACCATATGGTAAGCACTTGCCATATAAGTGTTGAACAGTAAGTTAAGAACCATTGGAAACTAATTTTACCACTATATACCATATGATAACCACTGCAAACTAATTTTACCACAATATACCATATGGTAACCACTGCAAAAATTGTGGTGAGATACTTACAAGGTTACATTCTGTGAAGCTGAGGTTTTTTGCCCATTCTTTGTTGGTGATGTCCAAGTCCACTTTGTCGTAGTAATCGTCTGGAGTTAGTAGAGGATTGCCACTATCAATGTCCAGTTGGCAGTCACCCTGAAAGTTGTGGTTGTTATTATGTGTTTTATATATGTGTTGTCTAAGAACTATTGACAGAAAATGGGTGGGTTTACTTACTGCCAAAGATGCAACGAAGAACCACCTTTTGAATTTTCCTTTTTTTGCTTCATTCCTGTTCATTAGATCTCCATACCAGTCGATGACATCAGATGTGATTTCACAGCGAATGTCAATCGACTGTACTGACTCCTTTTTCAGCAAGAATGTTCCATCCTTCCTTCTAAACATTATCTCATCACTGTATAAAAGGACATCACAACAGGACGGATGGTTTACTTTAATTTATCACATCAAACAATAGGTTACCACAACAAACCATAGCTTACCACATCTTACCATATGGTAATAAACTAAAACACAACAGGAGTTATGGTTTAATCCATTCTTTAACAACAAACCATAGCTTACCACATCATACCATATGGTATTAAACTAAAACAAAACAGGACTTGTGCATTACTACATTTTGTAACATTAAACCATAGATTTATCTAATCTTACCATAGCTTACCACATCTTACCACATGGTATTAAACCAAAAACAAAACTGGAATTGTGGATTACTAGATTTTGTATGATTAAACCATAGATTTATCTAATTTTACCATATCTTACCATATTTTACCATATGGTAACAAACTAGATCACTACAGTAGCATCATATAACAGTAGAAGTTTTAAGATGATGACTTACCTCTTGACACATTTCTTGTTTTTGCATCTTATGTACTCCAGCATGTTGCTGAACATATCATCAGGTGTTGTTTGTGTTGGTGTTGACCATTCAACTGGTGTTCTTTGTGATTGTGGAGCAACCGGTTCAACAGTTGGAGTATTCAGGTCCTCTAGGTAAGCATCTATGCATTCACGCACTTCGTTGAGCTTCTCTTGGCTGTTTGTGTACAGATTTGACCATGTTATATATGACTCCTTTTGTGACTGGGTGGTTTGTGGCTGTGTAGGTGGTGGTGTTGTTCTTGGCTTCTTTTCGTTTCCATGCACATTCTTCACCACGATTCTTCTTTTGCGAGGCTCTTCTGGTTGATTGGTTGCCGTGGTGGTAGTCAACTTCGTTGGTGTTGTTGGGGTTTGATGGTTGAGAGGGCTGAGATCGATTGGATCTGCTGTTTTTGCAGTCTTTTGTGCAGCTTGCCCTGTATTCCCTTCTTCTGTTGTTTCCTTATCAACTTCCATTGGATCTGCTGTTTTTGTAGCTCATTTTTCTTCTGTTTCTTTTGCAGATGTCTGTTCTGGAACTGCTTTCGGGGTGTTCCCTTGTTGTGGTGTTCCCTGATTCAGACCTTCTTGAACAGATTGTGCTGGTGGTTCTGTTGCAACTTTCCCCAGTGGATCTCCTTCTTGGATGCTTTCCCTATTCACAGCTCCTGGAGCAGAATCATCTTGCTCCTTTTCTTTTGCCTTCGCTGTAGATGCAGCAAGATCGACTGTAGATGGTTGTGAATCATCTTCTTTCTGTGTTTGCTCCTCGTTCTCCTCTTTGTTCTGGTCTATCTTTGCCTGTTTGAATATTTCATTGAGTGTTTTATCCAAACTGGCATTCATTTCTTCATCATTCTCTTCTTCATCATCTTCACACTGAGATTTTTCTCCTTCTATGGGCTGAACATATTCATCACTGCTTTCTTTCTCAAGATTCTCCTTGTGTCTGATCAGATTGTCAATTTGGCTTTTGTACTGGTCTTTGATTGCTTTCATCATTGCCTTCATTGATGCTTCAAGCAGTTTAATTGCATTCTCAGCCTGCATAATGGGAGTTTTGTAAGATACCATGGTGGTAATGTGTGTATGGTGTGTGGTTAGTTACCATGGTGGTAATACATGGTATTGGCAATTATTATCACTATTCTGCATTTTTATAACATGAAACCATATCTTACCAAACCTTACCATATGGTAACAAAGTAAAACAGAACAAGAATTATGGTTTCCTTCATTTTTATAACATGAAACCATAGCTTACCACACCTTACCATATGGTAACGAAGTAAAACACAACAAGACTTATGGTTTCCTCCATTTTTATAACATGAAACCATAGCTTACCACACCTTACCATATGGTAACAAACTAAAACACAACAGGACTTATGGTTTCCTCCATTTTTATAACATGAAACCATAGCTTACCACACCTTACCATATGGTAACAAACTAAAACACAGAAGGACTTACGGTTAGCATGAATTGGACAACTGTAATATAGATAATTTGTACTTACTTGGTTGACTGTTCTGATATTCTTCAAATCAAAGTTCAGTGATGATGACTGGTCTGGACTTTTGTTTCTTTGTCTTTTCGGTGACTGATAGACTGGCTCATTCTCCTCTTCCTCATCAGTTGCATCATCACCCTCATCGTCACTAATGTTGGCAACCTTTTCGATATCGTTCAACTCTTTTCCATTGTAGTAGCTCTTAATGTTCTCAAAGTTGCTTTCGACATTGAGATCATCATAGTAGCTTACTGTTGGTGTTCGAAGCTGGGTTGAGAATGCCATTTCGTCCAGTTTGTACATGAAGCATACCTTTTTTATGTAGATAGTTGTATTAGTTTTTTCAAAGAGTATCATTTATATATAAAATATATGAGTAACAAGGTTGAAATGGCCAAGGGAATGGAGACTTACTGTAAGGAAGTGAAGATCTGCACTGACGTAGAGGTTTGGTGATTTCAATCCTTCATTAATGTGTTTGAAGAAGTATTTGCACCGGTTGTAGCTGGTGAAATGTTTCAGTTCATCAGTCTTCAAGTACTCAAGTATGTTGAGTTCAGCCATAGGGGCTGAATTTGGACACAGCATGCCTCTGGTGACCAGCAGAAAGAACAATTGTAACCATCTCTTAGTGTTTGTAGTTGTAGGAAGATCTTTTTCTACCTGACTTAGCTTTACCCTTGGAGTGGATGTTCCATCTACTTCCAGTAGGGTTTCTATTGCATAATCTGCTGAGTCGTCCCAAGAAATCATGGGAGGTACAACTTCCCTATTCCCCATCGGCAGACCATATACCCTATGAAAGTCGATTGGTGATATCTTCATGCGTGTCCCGTCAGGTAGCTTGAACGATTCTTTCATTGGATTGTATTTGTTCATTACGAACAGTGCAAAATGGTTGTTTATCTTTGTCTGCCTGATTGATATTAAGCCTGCTAGGCCTAATATCTCAAGTTGCGCTTTCTGCTCCTCTTTTATTGTCATTGCAATTGGAGATACTCTTGTTGGGCTGCACCTTGTGCGAAAACTTTTTCTTTGGTTTATCATAGTGTACCTGAATGTAGAAATTAGGAATAGTCTGTTAGCATGCTTTTTACCATAATATACCATATGGTACCATAATGGTTTCCTACCATACCAAATCAAACCATATATTTATCACATTTTACCATATGGTAATTACATGAAACCATGTCTTATAACATCTTACCATATGGTAACAAAGTAAAACACAACATGACTTATGTTTTCCTTCATTTTTATAACATGAAACCATAGCTTGCCACACCTTACCATATGGTAACAAACTAAAACACAGAAGGAGTTATGGTTTTTTGCTATTTTACAACATGAAACCATAGCTTACCACACATTACCATATGGTAACAAACTAAAACACAGAAGGACTTCTGGTTTTTCGCTATTTTACAACATGAAACCATAGCTTACCACACATTACCATATGGTAACAAACTAAAATACAACAGGAGTTACGGTTTCTTGCCTTTTTATAACATGCAATCATAGCTTACCACACCATACCATGTGGTAACGAAGCAAAACACAACAGATTCTACACCAGTTCAGCAACGCATGGTAACGATTCGGTAATGTAGCGAGTTTACTACAATTTTCACATGAAGAGTGACTGAAATACTGTTTCTATTGTTCTATGGATGGATTTCGAAGAAAGAAATGAGGTTTTACCTTGATATTTTGTGCGAAAACGATTTTTGAGCCTCGTTGAAGTTGGAAACCCTTCGTTTTTCGACGAAGAAGCGAGAACAGTGTATCGTTGAATGATTCTTCGAAAATCTTTCCGAAAATCCTTCGATTTTTGAAGTTTCTTCTGTGTTTTCTGAAGTTTTTGGTGCGCGATTGGATAATGAATGGAGAGTTAGAGAGCAGAGGGAAGTAGAACAGTCGCGTGAAAGGTGAGAGAAAGAAGGAAAGAAGGTGGCACGGTTTAACGTCACGTCTTCTTTTCAAATTGTCAGATCGAAGATTACTATTTTGCCCCCCCCCCCCCCCCCCGTGTAGTTACTTTGCATGATCTGACGGTTGAAAAGATGATGGAATGGACGGTGGATAGGGCGGTTACTGATTCTATGGTTACTGATGGGATCCGGTCCCCTTTTTTTTTAAACAAAAAGCCGCCCGTGCACTTATTGCCTAGGTTTATCCCGCGTTTTAGAAATGCTTTTCTGTGTTAAAAAATGGAAATAAGGTTAAACACCTTCATAAACTGTATTTGTATAACATAAAAACATAAGTTTTGATTTGGAGTTTTTGCGAAAAACTGTTTTGGAAGTACAAAATTATCCTTATCATATTTTACTTTTATTCAAGAAAATATAATTTTATTTCATTTATATCATTTTAAATATAAAATATCAAATCATATTATTGAATACAAAAAAAAATCTAACAGTTTCTTTTGTATCAAAGAAAAATAACAATCCTACAAAAAAAAAAAAGAAATCTAACAATATAAATTTTGACTATTTTTTATTGTTTAGAATTTTTATTCATATTTTATATTATAAATCATTTATATTCATTTTTTTTTTTAACATAGACAAACGAAAATCGTTCAGTCATATAGTTAGAGTACAGAGAGCAACCACACGCGGAACTGGACAAGTAGTCGAACTTCTGATGTAATGGCTTTTTTTGCCACAAGATGGGCG